CAATCCACTCCCTATTTATAGATCTATACAAGGTGTATTGATAAGGAAACAAATAATTCTATAATAATGAGAATACAATTATTCCTAAATCAATAAATCAACTATGGAAGGAATTGATGTAATCCAGGTAGTCTTCCCACGGATTACTGTTCACAGCTGTGGAGCTCTTTTTGGATCGTGAGGTTGAGATTTATTAATAATAATTATTATTAGTATTATCATTACTATAATAATAATAATAATAATAATAAACAAAAATAAATAAATAAATAAACATCCCTCTCCTTCCCTTCTCTGTTCGGCGGATCGACGGGGTTTGGTCGACGCAGTGCGTGAAAGGGATCAAGTTACCTTCACAACGAGTGGCTCTCACTGTTGCTTTTGATCAAAATCTCACGGCTTCCAATCCGACAGGAAAGGAACGTCAGGGATGGAGTGTAATCGAACAGCCACAAAGGGCCAGAGAGGCGCGCTAAAGGTAGAAAGTTATCTACACAACAGCGAGCTCCAGTTCTTGTTCCAATCAAAATGTCGTAACTTCCCTCTCAACAGGAAGGGAACGCCAGTCGAAGGAGAAAGGTCGGGCGACCCTGAGGGAGCGGGGTCGGAGGCACACGACAGAGAGAAAACTCCTGCACATCGAGCAGGTCCCATTCCCACTTCCGATCGAAACGTCGTAACGTCCAGCCCAACCGGGAGGGCGAGTCGTCGAAGCTCCAAAGCCAGCGAGCTCCTGCGGTTGTTTCCGATCCAAGGTGTCGCAACTCCCAATCGACTGGAAGGGAACGTCGTTGTCAGAGCGGGGTCGAGAGGGAGAATGGGAGCGGAAAAGATCGAGGAGCGTCAAAGAGGCCGAAGGCCTCCTTTTCGTGGCCATTTAACGACGCGAGCTCGTCGTGCAGAGTCATGGCGGATGCGGCGTCAATCGTGCGAGCGACATGCGAGGATCGTGGGAAGAGCAGCGACGACGTGCGACGAACAGAGCAGGTATGGGATTTGATTTTGATTTTTTTTTATTTTAATCGTGGAGGTCAACATTTATAGATTAATTTTGATCAATCGGCCAGTCATAAATCAGCACTTGTCAAAAAAAGAAGATATTATTTTGCCAATATCTTGTTTCCTTTTTGGCTCTACCAATTTGCACCATATAAAATAGCACTAGGTAGTGTTAACATGTGCCCACCAGGGTTTTATAAGAGTTTGGTCAAGCTCCACCAAAGGAGCAATTCAAAATTCTGTTACCATGACGTGACAAAAGGTTTATGGAATGGACCAAATGCAACTCTGAAAAACAATCATTCTCTTGTTCCATCTTACCTAAAGAAACTACTGCATTTAGCATGACAAAATTAAAATTGAAGAAAATCATGGTAGTTCAATGCCCTCTAAAAAATTTAATGCAGCATAAAGTAGATAATTAATGCAACAACAATATTTTAAGAAAGCATCAACTATGAAGAAAATTATAGAGGAACATATAGCTCAATTTTAGTTCTAATACATAAACCCTAAGTCATATTATCTCTCCTTAAGCAATATGATCATCACAATCAATTTTTTTGTGATGCTTAGGGGTGTCAGTGAGCCGAGCCGGTTCAAACTCAACTCAATAAAAAGCTCGCAAGTCAAGCTTATTGAGCTTCGAGCTTGAGCTCACAAACTCAAGCTCGCTTATTGAGATAGTAAAAGTTTAATTACCCAATTGTTGTAAGAAATTGGTCATGGAATGAATGATTTTCTAAATTCTCTCTTCTCTTCCTCTCTTGGGAGTCTACACCTACTCTAAAGGTGTTTTTCCTTCTAAGATTGCCAAGAAGCATATCATGCATGCATCAAAAGATTTACTCGGTATTTCTTTTAAATGTAGGTAAAATAAGCCAACCACACTTAGTGAGATAAAGGCTTGTTGTTGTTATAGTATAGTTAAAACGAGTAAACAAATTAGGACAAACTATTCACAACAGGAGTTTACTACCAACTTAAGTTTTTTTTCCAGCAAGAATAGAGCGTAGTTCTCATTGGATATATTCCTTTTATCAAATAAAACAGAGTCAGCAACCTAGTCTTAAAGGCTCAGACCATTCATCAAATTTCCCCAGATGAATATAGTACAATGGCATTTCTTTATTTTAAGCATTCAAGGCAAAAGCTCTCAGAACCAGGCACCAAACTCACAACCCTTTATTAGGCAAAGAGAGTAAGGCTGAGTAAGGCTAACTTTACTTCCTCTATTGTGTCCAATTATGTAGGTCAAAATACTAGTTGTCAAGGATAAAACCAAAGTTGAATATTTAAGAAGTACCAATTTCTTAAAATTTTGAAAGCTAAGCAGTAAGGTGAACAGTCATTACCAATTCCCTCTGCCTTTCTTGCTTAATTAGCTCCCGAAGAGGACGATATGCTGCTGTCATGCACAGATTCTGCTAAAACAATTTTCCTTCAGTAAGTGATAACTAGTTGAAAACCTATACCATCTAATAAGACACAAATCATATGAAACCTACAAACCTTAAGATCACTACCACTATATCCCTCTGTCATTACTGCAAGTTCCTTATATTCGAGTCCATCTTCAACCTTTTCTTTTGACAGAAGTGATTTCAAAATCAGTTCTCTGCTCTCAACAGATGGCAGGCCTACCATTATCCTGCGCATAATACAGAAATATTGAAGGTATGTCCAAGAGATCATGTATAAATACCAAAAAAAATAAAACAAACCTGCGTTCAAACCTCCTAACTATTGCTTCATCAAGGTCAAATGGTCTGTTTGTTGCTCCAAGAACAAGGATTCTTTCCCCGGCTTCTGTCAGGAGCCCATCCCAATGAGCCATGAACTCATTCTTAATCTTCCGCATTGCCTCATGCTCACCAGCCCTTGATCTTTGCCCAAGCATGCTATCAACCTCATCCACAAAAATAATAGTGGGTGAAACTTTCGCAGCGAGTGTGAACAATGCCCTCACATTTTTCTCATCTTCACCAAACCATTTTGATGTGAGGGTAGACATTGAAACATTTATGAAACTTGCTCCAGCTTCATTTGCAATGGCCTTTGCCAGCATAGTCTTCCCAGTTCCAGGAGGTCCGAAAAGTAGTATTCCTCTACAAGGCTTAAGGAGACCTCCTTTAAAGAGGTCTGGCCTCCGAAGCGGAAGCATGACGAGCTCATGAAGGGACTCTTTTATATCATCCAAAGCACCTATATCATCAAATGTTACTTCAATTTCACTTGCTGGGATCACTTCAGATCTGATGCGCTTCTCAAATTCATTGTCTGGAGGAAATTCCTACATACAAGAGTGCAATTGAAGTCAATCCTCTTTAAGATATAAGGAGTAAGCTAATTAGAGAAGAAAATAAGACATCATTATCCCAACCCTAAACCCCGCAAAAAAAGAAAAGAGTCACCCTAAAAAACGTATGCAGGAAGAGTAAGCACATATTTGTTCAAGTACGCACATGTTGATTGCAGAATGAAAATAGAGCATTGCATTACCAAGCAATAGATATGCCCTTAGACCAGACAACGAGAACTTTCATTATAGTTATAAAAACGTAAACAAAGTTTGGAGAAGAGTTAAAATAGAAAGAGCAAAAGAAATTAAAAACACCCGATTGGATGCTTCTATTAGATGATTCATGATTTTTAGAAGCAAAAGAAGAAAATGATAGAAGTTGAATCAACAAGATAAGTAAATAAAATTAATGTGAAGGGATTAGGAGAAAAAAGAGTATACGAAAGCTAATCTGGATATAAGTTGTGCAAAAAAAAAATTCTAGAAGAACAGCTACCATCTCATGCAAGCAATTAATGGGAATGAATGAAGACTGAAAAAGTATAGACCAGCCCGATACGATATCATTGGGATAAAGCTAATGATCTTGATGATATTAATGATAATGATGCTGATGTCTAAGATAACTCACAATTGCTTTTGGCAATAAACCCCCATCATTTTTAGCAGCTACACCTGACTTCTCTGATTCACTTTTGTTTTCAGAAGTGCCTTCAAATTTCGTCTCAGGTTTTTTTGTGTTCTCACTTTCTGAATTATCCTCCTGATAAATAAATAAATAAAATTTAAGTTCGCCTTTTTCCAAGAAAAGAAGGAAATCTATCGTGCATCTATATATTTGAAAATGTGACAAAATACAGTAAAAGCAAGCAGGCGCACCTTTGTTGCATCAGTATTTGTCTCCAATTTTAGAGAATCTTTATCGCCAAGCTTATTCTCTTGGAATATACTTAGTACATGGGACAAACTGTTGTAAGGAAATAAATAGTAAGGGAAAAAAAAGAATGTAGAGAAGATAATTGAAGAAGTCAGTAAACTCGAGTAAATCAACATAAACTATCTACCTCTTTGAAGAAATGACAAGTTTTCCATTTCTGTACTCAAGATCTTTGTTATGCATCAAATGATAAGAGACAGCGGAAACTACAATTTCTTCAATATAATTGCCTATAACCATTGCATCTGTTAAGCATATTGAACCCAAGTCATTACAGTCCAAATCATTGGATGCAAGCACCTCCAAAATGTGGTTTTTGTTATCCTGAGACTGCATCATTTTCATGTCTTCTTCCAATTGTGATTTCCAACTTACAAGATGACTTTCATCTTGTGGAGGCTTAATCTCTATGTTATACGGAAACAAAATACCGAGCCTCTCATCCACCTCTCCATAATTAGTATCCGATTCAACGATCCTTGAACCAAGTATCAACACCGGTCCAGTTAACATTTTCAACATTTTTTGGAACATAGAATGTATCCTTTGGGATCTGAAAACTAGACCCTCAACATCCCTTATGTACAGGACGATAGGATTATCTTTTGAAACTGAAACAAGAACCTGCATATAACTGTGAAGATCACCATCTTTCTCAAACAAACTCAAGAATAAATGCTTTTCAAAAAAAAAAACCAAGGAATTTCTATAATTAGAAAGAAAAAACGTTATACAAAATACTATGTACCTTGTGAAGTGCTTGTATAAGCAGCTTTTCATCAAAAGTCCAGTTTCCGGTGCGCTTGGGTGGGACAGGAAGAGCTAGATTGATGACAGTCATACAAATAAGAGAAAAAAGACCACCAAAGTTGTAATCAATATTTATGAAAAAAAAAACATTAAAGGCAATTATACTCTCAACTATCTTTTTGTTGGATAGAAAAGGTAGAGATCCATATACATTCAAACCACCACACATAGGCAAAACACTCTAAAGCAATTATTACCACTCTCTTCACATTACCAATAAGCTAAACCTAGCTGATGTAGAACTATATGTAATAGCAAATGCAATCGATTGGAAATTACACAAACAAGAATAGAACTTTGCAATTAATTAACTTCTCATGTTTCTTAGCAAAGTTTAAGCCAACAAATTGGTGATTAAGCTTCGACAATCCATTACACAAGAAAAGATTAGAAATGTAAAACAATCATATCAAATTATACCATGCGAATTTAGGGTTTTCAAAAGGAATCCCTAATTTAACAATTAGAATAGTCACTAAAAGGAATCCGCTCACTTACACTCTTAATCTGGGTTGTGCAGATAGATCTTCATGATCAAATGATGACAAGATTGAAGGAGGATTAAGAGCTGCAAGGAAGGGAGAGAGTTTACCCAAAAATAGGAGATACGAGACAACGGCGATGATGTGTGGTTGCTTCTGAAGGAAGGGCAATAATGTGAAGTCTTCTCACAAATTCGAACTGCAATCTGGCACCTCCAGAGAGTTTGGATAGCACTCTGATGTTTGGAGAAATTCTGGACAACAATCCCGCAAGTCTTGGAAACCTTGGACAGCAAGTGCATGAAGTTCCACTCTTGGAGTAAGTGAGATTATGGTTAGGGGATTTGGTGGTGGGCTATGGAAAACTATGGGCTGCACATAGCAACATCAATGGTGGAGGGATTTGAGGTGATAGGTGGCCCAAGGAAGAAGGAAATTATCTCCAAACTTGGGAGTGAATAATTAAGGGGAAATAATTGGGGAAAACAAAACAAGAAATAAAAGAGAGGAAAAGGGAACGGCTAGCTTGAATGGGGGATTTGATTTAGGGAATCTCGGAAATGATTTCCAATTAGATAAGGAATTGATCGATTGATTGGGGAGATTTAATGGGCCTCATAATTAGATGAGAGAGAGAGAGAGAGGAGGGGAAGGGAGGGGCCCACATGATTTAATGAAGATTTGAGGGGATTGAGGGGCTTAAATGAGTTACCAATCAAAACCAATTTAAATTAAGAAAGAGACTTTAATACAATTATCTCTGTAATTTAATTTCAAATTCAAATGACCTTGATTGGAGGGACTTTCCTAATATAACTCATCTTATTTAAGGAATGAATTTCAAATTCAAATAAATTCAAATTTAAATTAATTGACCTTCCAAATTTACAAAGAGATAATTTAGAAAAGTGGTGAATGTTATGATGAATTTGGATTCAAGGGGAAGGAGGGAGGGGGACGGTGGCTTGAAGGGGAGGATTTGGGGTTGGCGGTTACGAGAGGGGAAGGTGGTCTTGGGTCGTCGGTTAGGAGGGGTTGGGGGTTGGGGCCAGTGACTAAGAGGTGTAGGGGTGATCTTGGGCCGGCAGGTAGGAGGAGGGAAGGGAAGTTTTGGGCCGCCTTCTAGGAGGGGAGAAGAACTACGAGCCCGGACGCTTCCTACGGCTTATGAGTATTGCTTTTCCCTCACCTAAGGACTTCAAACTCTCCAAAAATTCTCACAACTCTCCACGAACACAAGTGCTAAAATTTTCATAATATTAATCATCATACTCTCAAAGGAGGGGAAAGGATTATAAATAGTCAAAATACAATAACATTTCTAAAGACAAAAGTACCCCCTAGGGTTAAATAAGCCTACTTCCTCAAGTGAGGGTAAAAACGGAAAAGATACATAAAGAAATCAAATACAAATAATAAATCAAAAATAAAGTGGACTAATCATGGTCATCGATCTCTGATTCCTTCTCTGATAAACTTTCCACGGTAGGATGTCCTCATCACTAGCACTTGCTTAGCAATCATTGTTGCATTATATCCTACATATTGTGGTGTATATTCTTGTCACTGTATTACTGCAAAGTTGTATTACCTTCCCAATCTTGTTTTATATGCATTGTGTTGTAAGTATGGCAATTCGATGGTAACAAATACTCTACTTCCACAATATCGTGCAAAATAAGATAGGAATTTTGCAAAAAAAAAAGATGTTTATGCAACCTTTTAGTGAATAATTTTTAAATATAACGAAGAGCACTATGTCCTTGACATGGCATGTTATTTTTCCAAGTCATATCCATATCTTTCTCATGTCAGTCATAGGAAAAAAAAATCCCTCAGGACATCCCGAGGGAAATTTAGGTGGGGATGACTTTTTGGCCTTTAAATTCCCATTGGAATACAAGTAATCGATGTGTTTTGGTTTTGATTTACACTTATCCAAAAAATCATTCTCATCAAAACCAAGTTATGTGGAAACCCCATTCAAACAATATATGGTTTCTCTTCAAAAACCTTATGAAAATAATCATACTAGATTAGCAATCCACAATTAAAATCCTGTTGTGCAAAAAAAAATAAATCCTCACAATTATAAATTGAAACCGCATACATTTTACATATCCCATCTCCTAAATGCTCTGCTTGCATTACATTCCTTCTAGTCACCATCTTTTCCTTAGTTCAGGGCTTATATATTCTTAATTGCGTTATTCTATGCTGATTCTCTTCCAAACTTCAATATTCATGCAATTCATTAAGCACTTCGTTTTATAACAATACTCCTTCCAAAGATTAATTTACAGATATTCAATTCCTCTCCAGGCAGAGGATTCTATTATTTATATTACATCGAACACTTTCCTAGAGTTAACATCTTATAACTTTCAGGCATCTAATTTAAAAGCTATTATTAAAACACAAGCGATCGAGATAATAACTTAATCCAACAGCAACATTATTGAAGTACATTGATATTTACTTTAGTTGTTCTTATTTCACATTTTTTTATTTCATGTTAATTTATTTTGGTATAAACATGTCTATGATAATGATCACTGCAGATAATGGACTATTCTCTCAAGTCAGAGTTAGTTTGATATTAATTTATTTGGTTTTGATTCTCATCCCTAATTCAGTTCATTATTTGTCTCTCTGGTCAGTAGCTGATATTATTATTTTGGGTAGTTCAATTGTGATTCAGTTGCTGTAATTATTATTTTGAACCATTCAATTGGGATTCTGCTGCTGTTGGGACATTTGTTTGGTTTTGGCTTTCAAAGTTGCACCAATCGGTTCTTTGTTGATTACATGTGGCTTCCTTGATGCCTTCTCCATGTGCTTATCCCTTTCCGTGTCCAAGATAATTACTTGCTATTTTTGTGGTGTTAGTTTTATTGAAGCTATAGCTGTAAATTACATGCTCCAGATTAATTGTTTATAAACTCCAAATAACATTGCATAGGATTAGCTCAATTCAAATTAATAACAAATCCAAAATTAATTCCGACCACAGTTTAAAATATCCCCAGAAAATATGAAACACACAAATAACTATGCACGAGATAACTTGCAAGAGGCTCACAAAAGCCACACCATAACAAGTGGAAGTAGTACCCAGAAAATAAGGGATAACCAAAACTGGAAACCCTCAAAACAAAAGCCACTTTGCGAGGACAGGAGCAATTCCGCATCATGTAGTTAACTGGCAACCAACTTTTTACATACAAATTAGTACCCTTAAGACAAAAAAACATTATATTTATTAAGAACCATAGCTGATATACAAGAAAAGCATAATCACCTTGATTCATACAAGTGGACTCTGATGAAAGGCTACCAATATCAGCCGAGGCAGATGCATTTCTACGAAGTTTTGAAATACTCCCGCAGCTTTCTAGGCCCCTAGAAAAAGCCAAAAATAGACACTTGGATAAGTTTTATAAAAAAAGTGCTAAATCTTTGTGTGCTCTCTAATCTTCATTAAAGAAGCTCACATTTACTGTACCTTGATCTTAAATCTAATCCGCCGGTTTGTCTATGCAAAGATCCTAAACAGAGAAAATGAAGTTAAGTAAGAAAAAACAAATCAAAATTAGTCAAGAGAAAAGTACTTAAAACGTGAAAAAAAAATATGATGGGCTTGCTAAGGTCACAAAAAAAAGAGTCCAAGCTAAATTTGGATAAATTTAATATTTCAGATTAGTTGAATACACCAAATTTTCACTAAAAAAAACCTTTTTCGATTACAAAATTACCACAATAAAAAATTAGCAATAGATGATAAACTTTAACTAATTCCTTTCTTCTCTAATCAATATAGAAAAGGAATTAGCATCGAGCATCCACAGTATTTGTCAAGCAAGAACTAAACTAAGGATATTATGGGGGATGACTTTATGCATAAAGCCTCCAAGCACTCCAACAAACAATACTCATTCTTAAAAAAAAGACAAATAGGAATGCTAAAGTTATTTCCATATTAACTGCATAAATCATACATTTACATGGTTTAACAATATAGATATAACATGAGACAACATGAGCTGAACAATGATGCCAAGTTCACATAAGCAGGAACACCGAACAAGTAAAAGAATATAACAATGCATAAAATGTACCTGAAAAAGAACCTTTTGGTTCTTCCTGAGGAAGAATAGAAAATGATCCAATTATGCTGGTTAAACGTTCAAGCGTTGACTCAGAAATGGACCTTCTAAAAGCCTGCCATTTCAATAAAAAAGGCAGCCATGAAATAAAAATGAAAAGTAGCATGAAACAAGTTCTCAATAGATGAAAAGAAAGAAGGCACAGATTCCCGTTTTAACCTATTTATCATTAAGATTATGCATAAGAATTAAAAAAGCTATGATTACATGTGCCTAACATGAATATTATCAACATAGATAAAAAATCATAAAACATATAAGAGAAATTAATTTTGTCTCGTTGATACAACTAAAACATGGCATAAGTTTAGCAATAATAATATAGACAAGTCATTGAAAACTTACAGAATTTTTGTTCGCAAATCCATATTTGCTTTGGACCTGATGCCAACAATAAAGTAAATCAACATGTGATAAAAATGCAAGAACAAGAATAACAGCATAACAGCATTCACTTGCCTTAAGTGCAAAATCTGATACATCTAACAGTAACAAGTTGGACTCAAAGTAGTGAGCTAAAGCTTTCGCAAGCATCTGCTGATAAAGTTCTTTACAAAGAAGTTTCTTAAAAATTAGTGTCAAGCATTCAAAAAATTACCAATAGAAAAGACATGAAATATGATTTTCGATGAAAAATACCTGTGGGCCCTGAGAGTAAAATGGCTCGACTTGCGGGAGAAAGATTTCGTGTGAACTTAGAGAACTCAGCTTGCTTCAAGTGAACAAAGGCTGCACTCGTCAGCACCACTCGTGTTTGCTCACTGTTGTCAACAAGAAAAGCCAATACATATGAATTGAAAGATTCAATAAAACAATCAAAATAATAGATTTGCAAATCATTTCAAATATCAATTTATAAAACTAAAAATATTGATAAATTAACCAAATTAATTAAGATCTAGAAAATTAAATGTAAATCATAATTGCATCTGTTATGTATTTCATGTGTAAGTTCAGTATATTGGACAAGCAGCTGTAAATAATCTGTCAACAATATATAAGGTAGTAGTACAATTGAACCATGATTCCTAACCATAGTTTAGAAAAGTATTCTTCCAACATTGTTACTTATATGACAATATTTTTTCAGCTTTTTCATGAAAATAAGAAGAATGGACACAACTCTAATGAAGGTCAGATAATATCAACCAAGAGATGGAAATGAACTTTCCAGACATGAAGTTGTAAGAAAAGCTGGAATTCCGCTGCCTGTATTGCAATTGAATGATATGTTGATATAAGAGTTTCTATATATATAGCTGATGGAAGAGAGTATTAAGATATAGTTAATAATGAGAATATATTACAGTAATAATAATTATAAATTTCTACTATAACACATTTTAATATTTATATGGAAATCAATCCAATAACTCATAATACCTTCCGCATACATTCGTAAAAGTTTTAAAGATTCAGATTACAAATTTACTTGGAAGCTCAATGATAGTAACCGCAAAGTAAACAACGAATTGACTACTATAAAATAATCAACAACTAACAAAAGTGACAATAACATTTTTTGTTTAAAAAACATAAAATTAAAAAGTAAAATGAATCAATCTTTTCAGAAATTTTCAACAAAATATAACTAAATAATTTGGCTTTAAGTTACGAACGGTTCATTGTAAAGGCCCATGTTTCATAACTTCAACTTCATTAAACAAAGGAAAAGTAAAATTACATCAATGATAAAGGACAATAATTGCATGCGCAACAATAAAAAAAATAAACAGCTAACAAGTTCAAATAGGCACATATTCACTCTCCAATGCAAACCGAAAAGCGGCAATTTCACAGAGATCTTTTCTCATAAGAAAACTGATCTGAAATACTCATACGAGTCATTAAAATGATCCAAATTCTTACCTGGTCTGGAGAGCCATATGAGTCATGAAAATGATCCACAGTAGAGGGATCATCATAAGTAGGTGTAAATGGTAGTTGCAACCAAGCTAATTCTTCTGCAACTGATAGTAAAACTAAAAAGGAAAACCAACATGCAATACAAGGATCATGATATTAATTATCTAGCAGTAACAAAAAGCCTTGAAAAAGTTGGCCTTAGCCTTGGAAATTGTTAGATAATGGCTTCAACGAAGTTCTTGGCTTCTTTTAGTCGAACGTGGACCCAGTTGTTTGATAAGAAACTGTAGGCTACGGTGTAACTAAAATTTCCATACGCCTTACCAAGTTTATACACAAGTTTTATATGATTTCAATGGCCTAACTATAATGGTGTACTAGTTTCATAGCCATAAAGAGTGTTTTGTTTTAACTGACATTTCAGAAAGAAAACCTAACTAATTTGCTAATGCAGCACTACCATGTAGCTTCTCCCAGGGTTCATAACCAGAACCAACGAAACTATAATTAAAAATCACTATATGCACATTGGTCCATAAAAAGAATAGTACTGCACTACTCTTCTGCTGTGATATTCTTGGACAATTTGCCCTTAACGTCAATCTGACAGTGTGGTCCCAACAACTTGTCATAGTCGCGTCAAAGGAGAGACGGTCTAAATCTTGATTATCCTTTACAGGTCAAAAGGTAGCACTAATACACACCACAGAATAAAAATTTAACGTGAATGGGGAAGAGATTATTTATTTAAATGTAGGGCTGCAAAACATTCATAATATAAATTATTATAAGAAAATTTAAAAGTAAACTTCAATCTATACAAAATTATAAGAAGAATTTTCTCAAACTAAGTAAAAAGCCCCTCATTTCCCCACTGGACTGTGCACTGTAGAAACATGCTAGGAATAAATTATGATCAATTGCCCACACACACGCGGGCTCCAATTGATGTTGTCAAGTTGTTGTGAGCATGAAAAGCATGGGCGAGGTGCAAGGGCGGAACTAGACTTAATTTTCAGGAGGACCAAACTTATAAGTAAATGTTGGTGTTGCCTCAAATTTGGCTCTACCCTTCATTACAAAAAAATATGTCACCAAAAAGGAAGCTTGATATTAGCTACCAAAAAGAAAAATCATTGATGATTTGTTTATTCTAAAACAAAATTTAGGTTAATAAACAAAATTTAGGTTGAAGTATGGATGATTTATATGCAAAAAAAAAAAATTAAAATGATACAATTGATTAATCATTCAATTTCTACAAAATACATGTTAGAGATGCATTGAATTTGGTTCGACCCCTATTAGTTCATATCCTTGATTGTTATACGCTTCGCAGATATGTCGGGGGTCCAAGGGGGCAGCGCACTCGGAACAAATTTTAGTTGTAAGGATAGTTTTGAAATTTTTGCAGGCTTTGTGAGGGTAATTACGGGCGGTTATGGCAAAAGAGGGGCAAAAGTAAGAAGCTTAGGGGGGGACAAATTATTTAAATGCACCTCTCTTATAATTAAATTCTTTTTTTAAGGGAGGCAATTCCTCTCCTGACATCTACATGGTTTCGCCCCTAGCGAGGTGATTCATGCACGTGCGGAGCTCTCTTCAATAATTTGTTTTTTAACTCTCACAAGACTGTTGCGTTCATTTCGTTTAGATTAATTAATTATATGGTCACTATAGATCAGCTTATTGCTAGCTAGCACGTATTTGGCAGAGAAACAATTAGAATGATAAAACAATTAGCAATTTTGAAATATTATGTATCCTTATAAATATAAGAATCCAAAAAAACACTTCATTTAGATCTTTAATATTGACATATAACATCAGAAAATCTACATACTAATCTCTTCGATCAACTTATTGCAGCTAGCACATATTTGGCAGAGAACTGATTAGATTGATAAAAATTAAGCATCTTTAAAAATATATTATCCTCATAAATATAAGAATCCAATAATATTACATTTAGATCTCTATTTTTGCAGCATATCATCAGAAATCTACATACTACTTTAATAAAAATAAATCATTGATTACTTTGTATTACTCTAAGGAAAATATTTATTTAATCTTATTAAAAAAACAATCGTTGAGCTCACTTTAATTATGGAAATAATTCATCGCACAAATCAAGGAAAATCCACTAGTAAGGAGAATTGCTCTGTCCGAGTTGAAATAACTTGAAACTTCTACCATTCCATGCCAAAATTTTACCAAGACCAACTTAGAGGAAAAAAATTATCAAGATGACCTGATGTACTTTTCCTCTAGATCTATTTAAATTTGTGGCATGGAGATCGTGCGTGCAGCTCGCTGATTGAGCGAAATTTTTCCTCCCACGCGGCTCGTGTTCGAATCCGCTAACTATCCCAAAAAAAATGTGTGGCACGCGCGTTGAAAAAATAAATGTAACTTTTATATCACTCCTACAAATCCATATATTTCACATAATTGTTCAAATTTTCTTTTTTGTCTTTAAAATTATTTTGATATCTTCATTTTTATAGTATTTTCCATTAAAAATCTAAAACTTCCATACACAAATACCTTCAAAATTTGTGATGTATATCTTAGAAATTTAATATTTTGCCTTTAAAATAACAATACATATTTTAACAAATCGAGATAAAGGATAAATTAGTAAAAATACGATTTAGATTTTTTAAATGCCATTTTATTAAATTGCAATTATTAGAATTTAACAGGAGCAAATTAAATCATAAACAATAGAAATTAACAGTTAATGCACTCAAATTTCCCATATTGAAATGGGAGCCATGGCCCCCAACCATGAAGCCACATTGCCTTCCACTTCTAATAACACATGTAATGATTTAAAAGGAATCTTGATCGAAAATAATCTTCCAATTATATATAACATAATAAATGAGGTAGGTCCTTAAGCACCTGCCCAATTCTATGTTTTAAGGTTATTAACTAATATAAGATTAATCCATAATAATAATTATATAAAAAGATTAAATCAGAAATGCTAAAATTTAAAATAACATATAGATAAACTTACATTATTGAGAAATTTTGCAAATAGTATGAAGTGGAGGCAGCGGGGATAGCCGGATAGGAAAAGGGTGAAGGCGAGAAGTGCCGAAGAGGGTTGGAACTCGGAAGTCGAAAACAATTATTTATCAATTCGGAAAATTTGCAACGAAATATCCCACTTTTGATATATATTTACGAACTAGGTATATGCAATACAGAATCGGTAGATAGGATGAAGGCTGGATTTTAGGATTCGGTTCTCCGATCATTCTACACAAGACCCGTACATATTCACCTCCTAGTGATCTTACAATTCGTAACCCAAGGCGAGCATAGAAGACGAAAACGATATGCCGAGAAAAAAAAAACAAATAAATAAATGAAAACTTTTATCATCATTCATTTACCTGAGGTAATAAGGGAACTCATTGAAGGTAACTTTACTCTCCTTTCCGTCCGTCACGAGGCTCATCAGCTCCTCCCCGATCATGTCCGCCGTCACGCCAGCTGCCTGCACGGGGGCCGCCCATTTCCCCAACGTCTGGCTACCTGCAAGACCCAACCCCACCCCAACGCCAAGTCCTACGCCCAACGCCGACATCAGCATACGCTTCGGCTCCATTCTCTCTTCTTCGTCTGCAACACCTCAACAAAGCAGTCTCCAGTTCTCCTCCTCCCTGCCATACAAAGCATTGAGCGGAATCAGCACCCTCCCCAAATAACACTAGCAAACCGTATAAATCGAAGGAGGAAATCGAAAATCGGAGGAAGGGAAGAATCCGTGAGCGGTCATGATTAATTGATATTTGTATTACTTGTAGTCCTCGTGTTATCCGATGAATCCGCTTTGCCCTATCTCCCTCTGTTGCTATATTTAGGCGCGGCTCTTGCGGTTCTAAACCCTAGAATTCCAGTGATAAATAGCTGAATGAATCCTTGGAGATCTCAACAGCTGCCGTAATCGATACCTCGGTGGCGAGAGAGAATCAGAGAGCAGAGCTTCTGAACTCTGTTCCCGCATTTTAAAACCCCAGCGTGCAGGCTTGGGGCTTTGGATCGTTTTTAAAACTTGCTTTTGCCCGGGCTATGGCCTTCTCTGTGGCCAAGTGGCTATACGACGGCTACAGGAAACATTAATGGTCTTGGGTGGAATATTGCGTGTTCATCAGTGTGAGGACCGCCGTTACCGCCGTTATATTATTGTTATTATATTATTATTATTATTATTATTATTATTATTATTATTATTATTATTATTATTATTATTATTATTATTATTATTATTATTATATCTTAACCATATATTAGTTAAATAAGCTTAAAGCATAGAATTGAGCACGTGCTTAAGGACCTACCTCATTTATTATGTTCTAATTACTTGGAAGAATATTTTCGATCTAGATTCCTTTTAAATTATGATATGTTATAGTTAAAATTTATCGTCAAATGGCCGTCGGATTGGGACGGAAGCGGGCAGCCTAGTCGGTGCAAAGTAGTTTGATTGCATTGGCTTGGTGTTCGTCTTTGAGAATTGGAAATTGACAGGGTTGTTGATTCTATCAATCCTAGTTAGCATCCTTTATTTATAAAAAAAGAATTTATATCAGAAAATTCTAATACAAAATATATCATAATAAATTTAATTTTTTAATTTGATATTAAAATTAACGTTTGATACGTCATCAAAAACCAATTTAATTGAGCATGAATCTCGATATACATTTGAATTGAAAACTCCCGAAATTAAATTAAGGATCGTTTGGAGTTTGATTACAGTGAGCTTAGAGCCTAAATGAGTCTAAATCAAGGGCTTGAAGTACATTCGGAAGTTTTGATATATTAATTGGGTTATCAAATGATCTCTAAATAAGATATGCTAATAGTAGAATCGGGCGGTTCAATAAGACAAAGTTAATGAGTCTAAGACCGTTTAATTTGACATCATTATGGCGCTTAAATGCTCAAAAAATGATATATGATTGGGGAATCAATATTTAGATTTGCTCTAGATTTTTCTCATATTTGCGGGGAATAATACTCACAAAAATTTATAAATAAACCTCAACTCCCTACATGAGAGGGACATTGGTTAGAGATTCAAGGGAGTTCTAAGATTTGAAGAATCCAGAGCTCCATCGCTAGTAAACTTGTATCGGTCAATCACTACCATTGAGCTTCTGCCCGATCAACGGCTGCGTGACCTTTGCCAAGTTGTTGATCACCAAACCTCTACTCGACCAATCACCACCGAACCTCTGCACAGTCATTGATTACCCGAACTTTACGAGACCACCACCGCAGGGCATCCACCCAACAAACCATTGTTGGACTTTCGATCGACAGTGAGGTCATCTTCATCAATGGGTAGCCAAGCATGTATAGTTCATCAATGATAATTTTAATATGTTGTATATACATAGATTGCTTCCGTTCATTTTGTGAGAAGACGGAGATCTTCTTTCAGTTGGGTGAGATGCCCTCGAGATAGCTTGTCATAGGTATTGGCAAGATTACTCCATACCTATTGTGATGTGTGAGATGAAGCAATAAAAAAATTATATTTTGAGAGATAGAGCTACCAATGGCACTAAGGAGTTGGTCTTGATGAATCCATAATGAATAAGCAAGATTTGGAGTGGAGCCATCACTAGTGTTTAGAAGTTATGGCTAGTATGGATAGGATCCATCAATAAAACCCATGAGATCATATGATAGTTATATGAAATTGAAATCATCAGGTTGAGTAGTTAGAGGTGGTAAGCTTGATTTGTGTGTTAGTGTTGATGGTAATGAGGGCTTGAGATTTATGAATTGGGTTAAGAATAATATGAGTATTGAGGTTGGATGAGATCTTTGAGGGGGAGTCGACCATGGGAGGAAGAAGAGACTAGATTAGATTGAGCTGCTCTGATACTATATAGAGAAAGATAATTTGATGGAAAATAACTACTCTTCTTAATTTTGTATTACAAACTGTGTATAATACTTATAGATATAAAATAGTGAAGCAAAAAATAAATTAGCACATGTAATGAATGTTAATTTAACACAAATATTAAATGAGAGAAGATAAAAAAGAAAAGTGAATTAACACCCATAATGAATATCAATTTAATGCATAGGCTACAAGAAAGGAAAGTGAATAAAAACCCATAATGGACATCAAATTAATAGATAGACCAAAAGAAAAGACATATAAATTTAAGTTTAATAATAAATCTATGAATTGATGATACTAAATATTTAGTAAATATTTTCAGAAGTGTTGTATCAAAACATATTTGAATAACTACTAAATACATGATGCATAATGAAGAACTGCTTTGATTGAGAAATGGTCATAGGATGTATAAATTTATTTGATTTAGGCTTCATTTGGGATAGCTTTATTATTGCTTTTGAAAGCAGCTTTCTTGTACAAAAAAAATTAGTTTAAGAAATTTTTATACTAAACTTGTTTTCTAACAGAGAAACCCTTCACTATTGACCGGAAGAATCTCCTTCCTTATAGACTCTTCACACCAAAAGAATCTCCTTCCTCTCGCCTCCAGGGCCCGACGGGGATGTCGTCCCTCCTTTCTCCTCCAAGGTCGATAGAGATATTGATCCCTCCTTTCACTTCCAAGCCTGGCGGAGATGTCGAACCCACCATTCACTTTCAAGTCCAACAGAGATGCAGATCCCTCAATTCTCTTCCATGCTCAATGGAGATGACAAAACCCTAGCCTCATCAGCTAGCAAGCCTTTTGCACAAAAGACTCTCTTTCTTAGAGCTCTCCTCCAATAACTCTACCAAACAGAATGTGAGGACCCAAGGTGCAAGCTAGCCAGAGCAATTGTGTGGCCCCTCTCACACCTCTTGACTCCCTCAAGGCACCCTCCCTCTCTCAACCTCACCTCCTCTCTCTCCTTATGAATATGGACTCTCCCCAAGCTCCCCATTAGAACCTTAGAAAGAAGACGACTCAGACTGCCCAAAGACCCTTGCTATAAGATATAACTAGAGTTTATAAAGAAGACTCTCAAAAACCTCAATTTTTAAATTTAAGTCTTATGATCATACAATACGATGCTCACATCATACAGAACAATGAGTTCAATTTTTTCGAAAATCATCTTGTACGATTATAAATAGTTTAGTATGATTACTTCAGATTGAATCTCAGATCGTACATGATGAACCAAAGTTCTTTCGAAGAGCTCTCAGCTGTATCAGACTATACGATATTTGTATAGTACAATATGATATACAATTAAATCAAATCTGATTCAATTCCTTAATTTATAAATTAAATTAGGTAACTTATTTATTGTTCGTATAGTACGACCTAGTTCATATAGTACAATTAGTTCAATTGTTATCTTTTAAATTTACCTTATTTAGAAAAATTAGGTTGATTATGGGGTTTTAGCAAAATAGTTGATTGTACAGTATGAGTTAGAGTCATACGATATGATTAGTTATATTCTAAATTTAATTAATCTTATTTAATTAAATATTTAAATTAATTTATATTTAAACAAATTGTATAGTATGATTAATAGAAAATTTTAAATGTTTAGTTTTACTTCCCCTTATGTGCGTGTATGGTTGCTAAACCAACATACTTCTAATATAGAAATAGACAAAAGAAAATACAGACTATGTAACTTACATACTTTTATGCTGACGTTACACTGTCTTGAGCCGATTCTTCAGTCTTTTCTTGGTGTATACTTAAAATGGTTAGTAGCACACAAAGCAAATATCGAATATATAATGCAAAATTAAATAAATAAACATCTAATAATATTTATAATCATTAAAGCACAAGGTTGGGCTTCTGAATTACAACAGAGAAGATGAAGGCTCTTCCAAATATCTCATGGCTATAAGATTTGTTCATTTTCCCCAACTCCTAGCAATCTCGTTGTAATATCAGTTCTGCTCCAGGTTCATTGTTTTGAGGAAAAGAAAGAAAAAAATATAGATGATTTGTTCCGCTGCATTTGATATTTTTAGTAGCTCTGGTCTGTTTTGTATAATATTTGGAAGATTCAGTTCAGTAAGCAAATTCCAAAGCCAGATCCTAGTTAGTTGTTAAGCTGGTCGGGATCCGGCTCGGGCGGGATCCGTCCCCGTCGGGTCGGGTCGTGACACTCGTGGCTAGAAAACTCTTGGCATGATCCATCATTATCAAAGAAAGAAAGAAAGAAGAAGAAGTTTCTATAGAGTGATATCTTGAGATAGGCATGGGAGTTCTTTATTGTTTTCATCACTAAATAATAATAAATAATTATTTCTTCGATTCAAATCATTGACTCAATAGAAGAAAATTATTATTTCATTCTCTTTATCTTTTATCATTTCTTTCTAAAGAATAAAAAGAACTATGGAACTAAATATGCACTCATACATCCTCTAGGCTTGATTCTAAGTCAAATTAGCTTGATTTAGGGTAGTTGATATAGGTACAAGACAAGATTGTGCAAACTTGCCAGAACGCGCTGACAGGCTAGGACTTATGACTTGCCAAAACTTACTAAAACTTGCCAACTTGCCTTGAAGTTTCTATAAACATATCGACTCCAAGGAGTATAGTTACTAAAAGCTCAACTCACACTATTTTACCCTTGTAGTCCCCTCGATCCAAATAAAGTAGGTAACCACCTCCATGTAAGGTAATGATATTGCTCATGTATGGATTCCAGCTAAATAGAGGCATGCAATTAGCCGTATTCCTTGCAAGAATATAATAGTTTTTTTTTTTTAATATTGGCCACACACTCCCTATAATTAAATGGAAAAATAATAATTTAGATTTATCAAATATTTTATGTATTGTTAAACTCTATATCTAAACTTATAAAATAAAGGGCTCGAGTGGAGGCTAAGATCATTAAATCATTGGTACTCAAATAATGTACTTATTGATAACATATTAAAACTCTCTCTCTCTCTCTCTCTCTCTCTCTCTCTCTCTCTCTCTCTCTCTCTCTCTCTCTCTCTCTCTCTGTCTCTCTCTCTCTTCATCTATTTTTTATAGCCAATCTTAAGAGTAAGGTCTATG